TTTAGGAAGGAAGCGTAACTCCAAGTAATGGCGTAATGGAGCTAATCTTGAGGCAACATGATCAGCGATCATGGAGGAGCAGTTCGACGGTTATAAATGCAATTCGATGGTCATCCTTGAGCAGTATAAATAGCAGAGAAGGCCTCAGAAAAGCCCCCCAGACTCAGATAAAAAAAATCAGTCTTATTATACTTATCTTCCTTTCCAGTTTTACATTTCCAGTCTTACATTTCCCGTACTTTAAATTTCTGCACTACACTTCGTTCATAGGAGTAGTTTCAAGTTGATTGTTGCTGTAAACCTCTACGAGGCTAAGTTTGGATCATTGTAAGTCTTTCATTTTAATGAAATACTTAAACTGTTCTTCATTTAATTGTTATTTTGCTTAATTCTCCTAAATCAAGCCATCAGTAAAAGTCCTCTTCATTGAGGCTGAAAGAACTAGAACACAATCGTCTGATAATTAGTTGGCAATTAATTTTTTGTAAGGACTGATTGATCCTTGCTGGCACGCTCGCAATTACAATAATAACCTTCGAAAGCCAAAAAAGCCAACAAGCCTATGCTAAAAAGTTGGGCTAGAATCTTCTTGGATGAGTTTAACCACTTGCATAGAATCAATCTCAATAGTAATGTCTCTCATTCTTTTCTCTAGTATGATAGTGAGGCCCCTATACGCTCCCCACAACTCTGCGTCCAAGCTAGTGGCTTTCTCCAGCCTCTCATGGTAGCCATGTACCGAAGTTCCTCTCTCATCTCAAATTAGGCCTGCATAACCAGCTGGTTCAGGGTTACCTTTTGAGTACCAATCAATGTTGAGTTTGATTGTATCTGCAAAAGGCAAAGCCCAATTAGTTGTGTGGTGTAGAAGTTGACCAGTAATGGATTAGATTGGAATGCTGCATAAGTTTTAGTGGCTTGGAATGTGATCATAAGAGTAAAATTGATAATGAGTCTCATGGTTAAACTTTATCGGATATGTATCATAGAATTATTGTAATATATTTGATTAAAATAATAATAATAAAAAAATATAATTAATTTTTATTGTTGGGCAAGGATAGAAGATAATCAGAATTTAAAATTGTTTATTCGATGAGTGTAAGGGTTGGTTTGGGATGTCTTAAAAAAGTGTACTTTTTTACTTATTGGTGGGTTTGGGTTGGGTTTGATGTGATGTGTTAGAGAGGTGATGTGATTTAAATAAGATGATGTGACTTAAATAAGATAGTGACTTTTTGACTTTTTGACTTATTTAGTACATGCCAAACTAGCCCTTAGTCTTCTCAAACTTGACCTTAGTAAAAAAACCATATATGCATGTCTACTTCTGGGAAGTATTTTTGTTCTTACACTTTCATATCTACTCTTTGTGAGAGAATTATTGTAAAAGTGGGTTCAATTACCACTTATTCTTATTCCTTATTTTTGTGAGAGATTTTGTAAGGGTAAGGCATTTATTGTTGAGTGAGGCTCAATAGATAAGAGTAAGTCCTGTGCCAAATCCACAAGCTTGGTGGTGTATTTATTCAATTGATAGTAAAGAAATTCTCAAGGAGGTTCCTTGGGGAGTGGACATAGGCCTGGCGTGCCGAACCACTATAAATCGCAGTGTTTGATTTTCTCTCCCTATCTCTCCTACTTTTATATTGATAATTATTATTCTGTTTTTTTTATTTATTCAAATTCTGAATATTGTGTTTTTTTTAATATTGTGAAATTTTTAATAACCCAATTCACTCTCCTCTTGGGTTGCCTAAGATAACAAGCTGGTTCAGGGTTACCTTTTGAGCACCAATCAATGTTGAGTTTGATTGTATATGCAAAAGGCAAAATCCAATTAGTTGTGTGGTGTAAAAGTTGACCAGTAATGGAAAGCTGGTTCAGGGTTACCTTTTGAGCACCAATCAATGTTGAGTTTGATTGTATATGCAAAAGGCAAAATCCAATTTTTTGTGTGGTGTAAAAGTTGACCAGTAATGGATTAGATTGGAATGCTGCATAAGTTTTAGTGGCTTGGAATGTGATCATAAGAGTAAAATTGGTAATGAGTCTTATGGTTAAACTTTATCGGATATGTATTATAGAATTATTGTAATATATTTGATTATAATAATAATAATAAAAAATATAATTAATTTTTGTTGTTGGGCAAGGATAAAAGATAATCAGAATTTAAAATTGTTTATTCGATGAGTGTAAAATTATCGATTTCATTAATATAATATTTTAAGATACATTTGATTTAATAATTCTATCAAACCAATTACACATAAGTTTGGTAAAGTTGACAAAACCTGACATATTGTGGCCATTTGTGGTTTTTTAAAAGTCTCACGACCCAATCTTCTCAAATAAATATTAAAAAAAAAGGAAAAAGAAGAAAAGACAATTTGGCACTTTTAAAAAGTATATGTTTTTGTGAGAGTGGTTATTTCGCCATTTATGAGCAATATTTTATATTATTTATCATGTGATTTTTGTTATATTTCTTCCTGCATAAAAGCGTTGAATTTCATTATTTCAACTAACAAAATCAAGTTGTAACACTGCATGTATTTGTTCCAAAAATATTAACATGTTTAGTGTAATTTATTGAAGTTGTTTATAATTTATTTATTTATTTTTTAAATTAAAAGTCTGTTTGATAGAACTTTTACTTATAATTTATTAGAATTTTAATTTCATAAATCTTGTACTAAATTAAGGTCTCGTTCGAGAATTAATTTTTTAAAATAGTTTTTTTAAAACTTTTCTATGAAGCGAAAAAAACTTTAATATGTTTGAAAATAACTTTTTTTTTTTGATTGCATTAAAATTCATAAAATTTTTAGAATTTGATTTTTTTTTTGTGATTATTTTAAACTCCTCCAAGATATATTGTCGGTATGGCCCGCAGTCTGATCAAATCCATCTCTCTCTCTTCATTTTTCAATGATGATTTAATACTTTGATGACAGAAGTGACAAATATTTGTGAGAGTTGAATCTAATATTTTATATTATTGTGAATTTGTTAACGTCACCGTGACCGTCCTCATTTTATTTCCATATTTGTGGGTAATAATTAAAATTCACTAAATTATGAAATAATCAAGTAATCTCCTTTGGCAACCCACTCAAATCCTAATTTAATTTAACTAGTGTAATTTAAATAATTAATAATAATAAATAAATAATAAAGAATTTAGGTCAAGTTTGGTAAGTTGAAAAAAAGTCAAAAAATCAAAAAGTTATTAAAAAGCTAAAAAAGTTATTACTATTCACCAAAAGTCAAAAATTACGGCTGCACAATTCTCAATCTTAATTTTTTCCTACACATTAATTTATACAATTTTTTAATATACATTTTTCTATAAAAAGTCAAAAAGTTAACCCAAATATCTATATTTTTTTTCTCAATTTTTCAGTCTAAAAAGACAAAAAGTGCACTTATTTAGGACATTCCAAACAGCTCCTTAGTATCATAATATGTATACTGCTTAAATGATAAGTATGTTCTTAATGAAATTCAAGGTGTTGGATTCAAAACTTCCTTATTCTTTGTATAATAATTTTTTGATCGTGAGGAGAAGAAAGTTTTATAAAACTAATTTAGACTTTCACTTAATAATAATATAGATAGATAGATAGATAGGTAAACCCCAAAAAAAAAAAAAAAAGAAAAAAAAAAGGAGGTTAAATAGCTAAACAATCGAAACATCCATGGGTTATTTAGCTTATAACTGCTTTTTAAATTTTTAGAACAATATTTTAGAATTAATTATAAATATTGAATATTAAGTTGTAATAGTTTAACTTACTAATTTATTAATCAACATTCTAATTAGTGCAACAAAAACTTACCTTCATGAATTACACACCTTATCCAAATCTTAGGAATGTCGACCTCCTCCATTATATTTTTGTGATTTATTTATTTATTTATTTTTTAATCCTACATTTTCCATCAATTTTTTCTCTCTCTAATTTTTTTTAATATTTTAATTTAAATTATTATCATTGTCCAAACTATATTTTTAAAATTTATTTGAGTTTGAAGTGCCTATTATGGTTCAGAGAGCCTAACTTCCAGTCTATTGACATGAAAAATTCATTCATTTTGTAAAATTTATTAATAAAATTATTCTAGTGAAAAATTAAATTGACTAGACATTGAAGATTATATAATTAAATCACATTTTTCTTCAAAAAATTAAAAGGCCTATTTGCAAAAATCACATATTTCTATCCAAAAAACATGTCTAAATTTGTATTAAAAAATGTGAATATCTAATTGATGTTGAATTAATGCAGCGTGAATTTTACATACAGGAAAGACTATTGTACACACCTTTTAAAAGGTATGTACTATATATACCTTATAATTATAGAAAAAAATAATATAATTTCATATTTACTGAACTATAAGTAAAAAAAAAAAAGAATAACTAAACACAAAAAATTCATAATCAAATATCTTAAAATAATATTATAATTAAAAAAGAATTAATCATAACTAAAAATGCAAATGATTGAGAGGTATATAATGGAATTCTCCTTTACATGTTGATTGAAAGTGGTGAAAAGAGAGTTGACTAAAAATGAAGGGCAAAACGACGCCGGACGCAGAATGAAAAAACTGTACCGCGAAACAGGAAGTAGGGCTGAGTGGTGCGTAAGCGTATGTTAAAAAACTACACATCAGCACATAAACATCAACAACGAAGGCGAGACGAGAGGAGGAAATAGTAGATGCCAGAGGAGAGGCGGGTGGTTCCGGACCTCTCTCTTTTTTATCTCCACATCCATTTCCTCCCCTCTCCACACGATCCTCTCTCTCTCTCTCTAAAACTCTCTCTCTCTCTCTAGAGAGAGATTGTGTTGTGTTGTGTTGTGTTGTGGCAAGGGCAAAACGACGCCATGAAAAAATGTACCGCGAAACAGGAAGTAGGGCTGAGTGGTGCGTAAGCGTATGTCAAAAACTACACATCAGCACATTAACATCAACTACGAAGGCGAGACGAGAGGAGGAAATAGTAGATGCCAGAGGAGAGGCGGGTGGTTCCGGACCTCTCTCTTTTTTATCTCCACATCCATTTCCTCCCCTCTCCACACGATCCTCTCTCTCTCTCTCTAAAACTCTCTCTCTCAAGAGAGAGATTGTGTTGTGTTGTGTTGTGGTGTGGCATTCATTGATCAACAACTATGTCTGTGCAGTCAGTGCCTCAACTTCTCTACTCCAATGGCCAGTCTCTCAAACCTCCTTTTTCTTCTTCTTCTTCTTCTTCAGCCTTCGCTTCTAACAGAGGCGGCCTCTTGTTCGTCGATTTCGTCGGTCTCTGCTGCAGCTCCTCCAGGCAAACTTCACGGAAGAGACTCGGAGCTTCTTCGACTACTCAGAGGTTTCACGGTTTACCAGCTAAGAACTGGTCTTCAATCAGAGCTGTTCTCGATCTTCAACGCCTCCATAATTCATCGGAACAGTCCTCGGATTCCAGACCAAAGGTCTTGTTCATTTATTTACTAGTAATTGTGCTGCAATGAATTTGTGTGTGAATTTACTGTTTTTTTTTTTGTTTGTTTGTTTTAAATGACTGTTTATTTTGTAGCTAAGTTTTAAGTATGTTGCATTTTGAAATAATTTGCTTGATTTTGGAAATTTATTTTGGTATTTCGCATTTGTGAACAATCGAATGCTTTGTGAAATTGTGATGCTGTTTGGCAGGAGTATAGTTTCTATTTTTTATTTTTCTCTCTTATAATGTAAATGGACCAAGATTCGAGTTCACTGCGGGCTGGATTTTGATTTTGAAGGGAGTTGATTGTTCCAATTATAAGGATAGTTTTTTTTTTTTAATTTATTTATTTTAAATATAAAGATGAGCAAGATTGTTCCAATTATAAGGATAGTTTTTTTTTTTTAAATTTATTTTAAATTTTTTTATTTTAAATATAAAGAAGAGCAATTTGAGTCTGCAATTTTTTTTTTCGTCAATCGTTAAGGATTAATACAAATAGACTGTATATGTACTGAACTAGCATAGTAGCATCGTGTTTAAATTGTTATAGAGCTGTAGCTATTGACTAGAATTTGTAGTGGAACTGCCAAAGCAATTCTAACTCTATTATGGGTTGACTTATGCTGGAGTTGGGTGGGTTGCTACAGGCTGGTGGTCCCCAAAAGACTGCTATTTGTTTGTGCAACCTTTTATTATCTAGAACACTGTTGTTGTTGAAGACAGGCGTTTCCTCCTCCACTCCCTCTTGGTCTTCTTCACTGCCAAGATTATTTATTTTATTTAAAGAACCAAAAGAAAGGAGATGCCCTTTGCACACGCATTGTGCTCTACATAAAGTAACCTACACTATTGACACAAAAGGCATATCGAAAACACTTTCTTTAATTAGAAGATACACTATATAGCCTAACATTTAACCTGATGTGATACCTCAAAATGAGAGAATATACTAATTTTGTTAGCATTGCTTTAGCAACTTGCTATTGATTGTTTTCTTTGTTTTGTTACTTATCAAAAAGAAAAAAAGAAGGTTATCTTTGATTTGTTTACTTTCTATTTTAGTGCTTTTAGGCTATTATTTTTGTCCATTTATGTCATGTGATAAGGTTGTGACTACAATTAAATCATTTGCAAGTATTGCATCAAGGGTCACTTTTGATTCCATACATATTTACTTTAGTCATGGATGAATTAACTAAACACGATTAGGATGATGTCCCATGATGTATATTGGTTGCATCTGATATTGTTCTATTAAATGAAACTAAGGAAGGAATTAACAAAAAATTAAAAATTTGGAGAGAAGCACTCGAGTTGAAAGGATTTAAAATTTGTAGAAATAAAAAGGGAATGTAAATTTCTTGACTGTAGAAGTAGAAATAATGGACAAGTGAAGATTGATAACAAATAGTGAATTTTTCGTTATATAGGTTCGGTTATTAATAAGGGCAGTGAGGATGGAGATGATGTGATCCATAGAATCAAAGTTGGTTGGGTCAACTGGAGGAGTACATTTGGCGTATTGTCTGATCGATGAATACTAACAAATTGAATGAAATTTTTTATAAAACAAAACAACTATAAGGCTAATAGTGCTTTACAAGACAAAATGTTAGGCAACTAAAAAAACAACACAGTGCTTTACAAGACAAAATGTTGGGCAACTAAAAAAACAACACATTTATTAAAAAAAAGCATAGTTAAGATGAAAATGCTTGGATGGATGTGTGGCAAGATTGAAAAAGATAGAATTAGAAACGAATATATTCGTGAAATAGTAAGAGTAGCACTAATTGAAGATAACTTGAGGGAAAACACACCTAAAATGGGTTGGTCATGTACAACGAAGATCTATAGATGCAACGGTAAGGAAAAGTGTTATGATCACCATAAATAGAAATGTTGGGGAAAGGGAAAGACCTAAATTGGCATGGGATGCGCTAATGAAAAAAGAACATGAATTTATTTAATTTAACTAAGCATATATCCCTTGACAGCGCAAAATAGCAAAAAATGATTCATGTCTAGACAATTGATTGGGACAGAGGACTTAGTTTGGTTATGTCATGCATCACTGACACACAACTAGTGGTAGTTAGATTTAAGGCAATTTGTCGAGATATCATTTGATACTTGATTAAATTACGTGATACTTTGTTATTTTGGTAAGCAACTTTTATTCAAAATTTTCCATGTTAGTTCAAATGCATATTTGGCGGCACATCTAAGTATTGGTCAATATTGAAAACCATTCATCCCAAAACATAAATGGATTAATTGTGATAAAAATTATGTGATGCCATTAAGTGTTTCATGCATCCCTTGCCAATCAAAAGAAAGTGTTGCATGCATCCCTTCCCCCCCAAGACATTCTATCCGTCGACGTCCAATGATGGCTTTATCATTATTTAAAAGGTCCATCAGTATTGTATTGTTGTCGACCTCCTTACAGTAATGTCACTATTTTTTTTTTTCTCTTTTATGGGATGTTGTTTTCTGCTATGATTTTAAATGTCTGTTCTTTTCATTTCTCTATTATGCATGTTTCGATTGTGATATGAGTGTTCTATCTATGAGTTTCTACGTGCTTTGATGAACTGGGTTGTATGCTTTTCAGGTTGCAATCTTGGATGATATAATATCAGAGAGGGGGGCCTGTGGAGTTGGATTTATTGCCAATTTGGAAAATAAAGCCTCACATCAGATTATTAAGGATGCTCTTACTGCTCTTGGTTGCATGGAACATCGTGGTGGTTGTGGAGCAGATAATGATTCTGGTGACGGTTCAGGATTGATGACGTCAATTCCATGGGATCTTTTTAACAATTGGGCCAACAAGCAAGGGATTGCTTTCTTCGATAAGTTGCACACTGGTATTGGAATGGTTTTTCTTCCCAAAGATGACAACCTTATGAAAGAAGCCAAATCAGGTAGCTTTAAAGAGCTTTGTGCAATTCAAATCTTGCAATTTTTCTTTCGTTTATGAAAATAATAGAATGTATACAATTCTTTAAATAGTTGTTCGTGCATGATGAACAATAGCATTTATGATATTTTTAAAGATACTTCTTTTGAAAGGATATAATTGGTACTGTTATGTTATCCACATCCATGTGTAAGTATAGACTTGCATTTAAAGTGAATAAATGATATTATTGGGAGAATTTTATTTATTTTGTTTTTATTTTGTAAGAAGGTTAAATGCCTGACTGAGTGAAACATAATGGATGATAAGGAGCATGATTCAAACTTACTGTTGATGCACCTAGCTGGCATAACAATAGCCTGGACATTGTAAATTTACTATTTACAAAAATTGAAACTTTTGGTAGGAAATTAATTAAGAGTATTTAGGGGGTTAGGCATAGGAGTTGGGTTGTGTTCCCTTCTTGTGGAATGTCAGGGGTGTTTTAATTATGTGGGATGATAGGGTGTTGACTGAGGCTGTAGTATTAGTAGGAGCTTTTATGGTTTCAGTTAGGTTTGCAATAATGATGGAAGTGAATGATGGTCATTGGGAGTGTATGGACCCAATAGATGTTGAGAAAGTCTTTGTGGGATGAGTTTAGTAGCCTTTTTTTGGGTTATGCTATCCTAACTGGTGTTTGGGCATTGATTTTAATGTTAATAAGAGTGATTTCAAAAAAAACCTAATGGCAGGAAAGTCTCAAGACATGTGAAAGATTTTGATGCTTTTATTAGTGATTGCGACTTAATTGGTCCTCTTTTGTTTGATGTTTATTTTACTAGGTCAAATTTTTAGGAAAACTTGGATAAATTTCTATTTTCTTTGGTGTTGGAAGAAAAATTTCCGAATTGAAATAGGAGGTACTTCCTAGAGTACTTTTGTTTCATTGTGCGGTGGTTATGGAAAGTTGTCCTTTTAAATAGGGGCCTACTTCATTTAGATTTGAAAATGCGTGGTTAGATCATCATTTGTTTAAAATGTGTTTTCAAGAGTGGTGGGAAAATGGTAGGGTTCAAGAGTGGGAAGGTTTCAAATTTATGAAGAAACTTGATTTAGTCAAGGGAAAGTTGTAAGTTTGGAATAGGGAGGTTTTTGTTGAATTTGACGAAGATAAAAAGTGAGATTACTAGAAGGATTGAAGAATTGGATAGATTAGAGGCTAGTGGTGGATTCAATACTCCTTTAGTAGGGGAAAGAACAAAGTTGAAAATTTCCAGGCGTGATGCCTGAGTTTGATGACGTGCTCCCTTACCAAGTGTAATGCCTAGGTTCTTTAAGACCAAGGGGTTGGCCCTTGGATTCGAGTCTTACTGCTGCGAATGCAGTTTTGCTTCCCTATTCCCCTGCTGCAGATTGTAAAAATTAAAATTAAAAACCAGGCCGTCTTTCTGGATTTTTGTAAACCATTCCTGTGACTTGAACCTGCTTCACAAGGCTTGGGCTGGATACACATGTTACGGTCAGTAAGTGCTGCTATATAAGTATCAAAATAAAGAAGTGGCAGATATATGGTTTTATGTGATTATAATTCTGTAATTTTCTTTTGCTTTATCAGTTATCAATCTCCATGTGATTATTTTTATGGACGTATATATGTTGGCATATGTTTGAATTTGTTTTTTTTGGATTTTTATATCACTTGTGGTCCTATTGTGCTATATTTTGTCAGAATACTTTCATCCTCTTTTATTGTTTGATGATCTCTTAGTTCTAGTTCTAGTCATTCCTGTTTATTTTTTTGTACTTGTATTCAGTTTTCTAAATGTGGAAATAATTGTTTATGTAGCTATTATTAGCATCTTTAGACAAGAGGGTCTTGAGGTGCTTGGATGGAGGCCTGTTCCTGTAGATACTTCTGTCGTTGGTTACTATGCAAGAGAAACCATGCCCAACATACAGCAGGTTTTTGTTAGAGTTGTTAAAGATGAAAATGTAGATGATTTTGAGAGAGAATTGTATATTTGCCGGAAATTGATTGAAAGAGCAGCCAGCTCAGAAGCTTGGGGAAATCAGCTTTATTTCTGTTCTTTGTCCAATCAAACAATCGTTTACAAGGGAATGCTTCGTTCAGAAGTTCTTGGTAGATTCTACTTTGACCTCCAAAGTGATCTCTATAAATCTCCTTTTGCTATTTATCATCGGAGGTACAGCACAAATACTAGTCCTAGGTGGCCTCTTGCTCAACCAATGAGGTTACTTGGTCATAATGGAGAGATCAATACCATACAGGTTACAGTTTCTCTATTCATATGCTGTAGCTTGCCTAATAGAGTGTTACTTCGTATTCCTTTGTTTTGATGCCGAAGCCTTTATGCAGGGAAACTTGAATTGGATGCAATCTCGAGAGACCTCATTGAAATCTCCTGTTTGGTGTGGTCGGGAAAATGAAATTCGTCCTTATGGAAACTCAAAAGCATCTGATTCTGCAAATCTTGACAGTGCAGCGGAAGTATGGGCTATTGCTTCTTTATTCATATAATCTGCATATTTGCTGCTGCTACGTGTTTTCTGGAATGCTTCTTATAAATCGACTCACTGAAAATAATGAAGAAAAAATTTAATTGGATTTCACATACAAATCTTATGCTTAACTGAAGTATCCAGGTCTGGATTTCACACACAAATCTCTATTGTGAGATTTGTTTCTAGTATGGCTGGCTGCTAAATGGCTTTTGAGATCCTTGAAGCAATTCAGAATTTGTTTTCTGAATAACACTAAAATCTAGTTTGGTGAAAAAATGATGAAAACTTCAAAAACACTCATAATTTTCTTAATTGTTTTCTTTCCTTTTTTGTTTTTATGTGTCTGTGTGTGTGCGCTTGCGTGCATGTTTGCACAAAATAGTCTTTGAAAATTCAAATACATCTTTTCGGTATTTGTTTTCATCAAACTAGTTTTTATTATTTTTCAGAGAACATATTCTGAAAATGAAACCAAATAGAGTGAATAGATTTCATGGGAAAAAAACAAAGAAGAAATCCTTGTTTGCTATGGTCTTTTAGTGATGGGAACTGATGCAGTCGATAAGAGGCTGAAGGAGCAGATTTGGTGAGAAAAATCTTAAAAATAAGTTAAAATACAAGGTATGGCCTACTTGGGGTTTCTACTAATCAAGCCTTCTGTTATAGTTTGGCCCTATTTTATGTCTTGTTTAGATCATGAAGTAGTGCTTACATGGCAGCCATGTCACTCTTGCGTGGATGCCATGTTGGTATAGTGGGCAGTCAGTGGCGGACCCAGAAATCTTGTTAAGAAGGGGCCAACATTTATATAATCATAAATTGATTATAAATTTTATTTTATCACATTCTTACAAAAGGGTTTTTTTTTTTTTTTTTTTTAAATTAAATTTTTTTTTTAAACATATATTGTACTAAAATATTTACTTTTTATAAGTATAAAAATTAATATTATCATTATCTTTACAAATAATATTTTTAGTCAATAGACATTTACAAAACAAAAAGATTGGAAACAAGATTATAAACTTCATTTACACATTGTACAAAACATAAGACCAAAAAAAGAAAAACATACAAGTAATTTTTTACATTAATCATAGTCACATTGGGTCATAAACCAAAACCAATTACAGCTATAATAGAAGGTCATTTGGGTTATAATCAAAGTCACTACAATGAGTTGCAACGAATACCACTTTGAGACATAATCAAAATCATAATGAGATGTAATTAGTTTTAATTTAATAGTTTTCAAGCTACACACTTATAACCAAAACAATATCAATTGATAAAAAATATCAGTTTAGACTACAATTTATGTAATAGCATGACTCTAGTAATGGTTCAAATAAATTGGCTCTTTCGAGAACCTCAAGTGGTTGGCCTAGTGGGCATGACTTGGGGCTTGGGGGGCGTGCTCCCTCCAGGTCTCAGGTTCAATACTCACTAGTTGCAATAAGCTTCTTGGGGCCAGTCTATGCAGGGCATTTTCTTTGGTTTTAAATGGGGCCCTGCAAGTGGGTGGTGGGATTGGTCCACTTGGATTAGTCAAGGTGCATGTAAGTTGGCCCGAACACCCAGTTATCAAAGAAAAACAGGCTCTTATGAGGGAATAAAAGAAAAAAGTACTGAGGGTTGGGGGGGCCAACTCTTAAGAAATTATGGGTTCAACAAGAATATATACGATGCTATGGAAGGTAATGGAAATGGATGCAGGGGCAGGGGCAGTGACAGTTGCAGTGGCCACCCCTAGCCAGCCATTGCGTCTGCCACTGTGGGCGGTCAAAGAGTCTCTTCGACTCGGCATAAATTGGAAGCATCTTTTTCATTTATGATTGTCTAATAGGTTATGTTTTGAACGAATGTCGCCCTTTTGTGTTTTTGATAAAGTTGGCAGTAGTGAGAGTCCTTTGTTTTTTTGATGAGGTTAGAATTTGTGGATGTAATTAATGATTTAGAAGAGTGCAAGTATAAATATTATTTTGGAAGATGGGGTGTAGCTATTGACTATTATAGAGCTATGCTTTTTTCCTACTCTTCTCTTTGTTGTGATTTCTTGTTTATCAACCTTCTTTCTTCCTCCCTCTTATTCACCCACATCCAATCATAATACTGTGTTTTTGTTGGGTTTTTATGATTTTTTGAGTCCAATGTATTTGAGGAGATATATATTCTGTCAAGCTCAGCTGTAGTAGACTCAGTCATAGTGCGACTCTGCTTCTACTCATGCCCAACAATTATAAAATTACCAAAATACCCCTAACCACTAAAACCTAATATAATGACATAAAATTTATCTAGATACTAAATTAAAATAAGCACAAATAAGAACTCTAAATCATTCCAAAACTTCACTCCATGATATCTTAAACGTGCTTCATGTGAAATTGCAGATTTGTTCTTTTTATTCTTTCCATGCTCGTCATCACTGTCTCAGTTTGCTTTGGGTGGGTAGGGGGTTATGTATGCTGCAACTCATTTATCTATTTGTACTTTTTTGTTCATTAATATGAGACTGCTTCAGACGGTCCATCCATTTAATGTTCTGATTCATTATTTGAATGTTTGACACAGCTTGTTTGTCTGACTAGTCCTTCCCTTTTGTACTTTTCAGTTTTTAATAAAAAGTGGCCGTAGTCCTGAGGAAGCTCTAATGATTCTTGTCCCAGAGGCTTACAAGAATCATCCAACTTTGTCGATTAAGTATCCTGAGGTAATTTATGTTAGCAATTCAAAATTAAAAAGCATCAATCAATATATGCTTTTGGCAAAGGTCCTTTGCTTTAGTGCATTGAGATTTTTTTTTAGGGCTTAAACATGGCTATTCTTAAGTGTACTACTTTGTAATTTAAGTTCATAGGATGTATTGTTATTCTCAACCTGAATCCATCTATTATGTCTGACTTCTGAACTGTTTAGTTACTGTGACCTTATTGAAATTCATTTGATATTCCTTGCGAAGGATACTCAGTATTTCTCTGTTCTTAGGTTGTTGATTTTTATAACTATTACAAGGGTCAGATGGAGGCTTGGGACGGACCTGCTTTACTCTTATTTAGGTAATACTTCCAAGGTCACTTATTGCCATTTTATGGTTACACAGTGATTGTATTACTGAATTCTGTGACTAAGAAAAGCAAATAACTGAAAATTTCAAAATCCTAATGCAAATTAAATAATGATGATATGGGCTAATTCCAAGTGTTTTAAAGGGAATTGGAGTTGCAATAATCAATATGAAATTGGCAATTGATAAGTTCTCAGAGTTATGGGGTGTTGGGGAATGGCTAGCATACTAGATCACACTGGAGATAGTGAAAATTTTAGTTAGGTAATACTTCAACTTCTAGATGGCTTGATATACAGTATTGTAACTGATGCTGTGGGTAATCTACAGGTTCCCTCATATATGATATAACCTTGAAAGTGGGCCCAGTTTTATACGTAATTATGGTATCCAAATGCTTTGGTTTTTTGTTTCATCGATGTCAGTTAGCTATTTTAGAGGCTGCTTGGCCTAATGCTAAATGTTTGCCATTAACATCTTTGGGTCACGGAAACAATTTCTCTAGAAATGGGGGTAAGACTACATACATCTCGCCTCCCCAAACTCCGCTTTAGCGAAAGTCTCTTGCATTGGGTCACCTTTTTTATATATATATATATAATGTTTGATGGCTAGTTTTTCTTCTTTTCTGTAAAAATTATCCGGAAGATGGATTTCCTATGTGAACAATCTTAATGTGTGGTTGCATTTTTCGCTTGTTAATTTTTGGATAATTTTTTTTACACCACTGCATTTTTGTCTTTTCTTTCTTTGTTTGTGATGCCACAGTGATGGAAAAACGGTTGGAGCTTGTCTTGATCGGAATGGACTTCGCCCTGCTAGATATTGGCGTACCATAGACAATGTTGTCTATGTTGCATCTGAGGTGTGTTCTGTTTTCTTTATCACAACATTTTTTTTGTCTTAAACTGTAGACACTTACAAGAGTTGGATAAGATCATGCATAACTCTGGTTTAGGTTTTTTCCCTGAGGCTTGGCTTAACTTGCAATTCTTAGGAGCTTGAGGAACTGAGCTTGAATGCCACTTTCCCTGCATATGTGATCCGAAGGTTTAGAGAAGAGAAAAAGTTAGAGAGTGAGTTAGACCTCATTCCCTTTTATATTAATAATACTGAGTAATTATAGGAGTGCCATAAGGCATAATATATGGGCCAACTTATTACACCAATCAAGGAATAAATAAGAAGAAAATACAATCACATATTTCCTATTCTAACTCGTTGCCTATTCTAACACTCCCCCTCAAGTTGGTGCAAAGATATCTCTCTTGCTCAGTTTGTTGAGAATGTCATGAAATGGTTTGCTCCCTAGCTCTTTGGTGAGAATATCGGCTAGTTGGTCTCCAGTCTTCACAAATAGAATACATATGATGCCACTAGTGAGTTTTTCTTTGATGAAGTGCGTATCAATCTCCATATGCTTAGTTTTATCATGTTGAACTGGATTATGAGTTATGTTGATTACGACCTTGTTGTCACAGTATAGTTGCATGGAGTCAGTCTGATGGATTACCAGGTCTCCCAATAGTAGTTTAATCCATAGTAACTCACATACATCCTGAGCCATAGTCCTGAATTCTGCTGCAGTACTAGATCTAGCCACCACATTCTGTTTCTTACTTCGCCACGTGACTAGGTTGCCACCCACAAATGTGCAGTATTCAGAAGTTGATCGTTTGTCAGTGACTGATCTAGCCCAATCTGCATCAGTAAATGCCTCCACACTGAGATGGCCATGTTTTGAGAAATAGAGACCCTTTCCAAGAGAAGACTTCAGGTATCTCAGGATTCTCATAACTGCCTCCAAGTGGGAAGTTCTAGGAGTATGCATAAACTGGCTCACCATGCTCACAGTAATGGCAATGTTGGGACGTGAGTGGGATAAGTATATGAGCTTGCCCACTAGTCTCTGGTATCTCCTCCTGTCCACTGGATCTCCCTCTTGATTCTCACTCAGTTTCTGGCCCGGTTCTAGAGGCGTATCACATGGTCTACTTCCAAGTATGCTAGTTTCCTTTTGCAAGTCAAATACATATTTCCTCTGACATATGAAGATGCCATCCTTGGACCGAGCTACTTCAATACCCAAAAAATACTTCAAATAGCCTAAGTCTTTGATTTCAAACTCTTTGGCTAAGTATTCTTTCAAACGAGAAATCTCCTCAATATCATCTCCTGTCAGAACAATATCATCAACATAGACAATAAGAGCTATGGTCTTACCATGTGAGGAGTGTTTCACAAACAAGGTGTTATTAGCTTGACTTTTCTTGAACCCATATTTCAGCGTAGCTTGAGCAAACCTTTCAAACCAAGCCCTAGGAGATTGCTTTAACTTATAAAGTGGCTTTCGGAGCCTGCATACTTTACCGTTAGATTGAACATTCGCAAAACTAGGGGAATATCCATATATACCTCTTCTGCTAGGTCTCCATAAATGAATGCATTCTTCACATCAAACTGATAAAGTGGCCAATCCAAATTTGCAGCAAGAGAGAGCAAGATTCTCATAGAATTCATCTTAGCAACCGGTGCAAATGTCTCTGGTAATCCACCCTAGAAGTTTGAGTGAAACCCTTAGCAACCAGTCTCGCTTTGTACCGTTCTATAGAACCATCTGCTTTGTGTTTTACTGTGTACACCCACTTACACCCAACTGGATTTTTGCCTCTAGGTAACTCCACTAACTCCCAACTGCCACTCTTGCTGAGAGTTCTTATCTCTTCCATCATGGCATGTTTCCATTCAGGAATAGAGAGAACATCCTGAAAATTGGTAGGTAGACTTACAGAAGGCACTTTAGACAGAAAAACTTTATATGAGGAAGACAGATGAGAATAAGAGACATGATTAGTAATAGGATGCTGAGTACATGACCTAACCCCCTTTCTATTAGCAATGAGAACATCTAGATTTGAAAAAGCAGGAATATAAGCACTAGAATCAGAATTATCTGAACTCTCAGGAGAGGGGGGTGACTCTGGACACTCATCCGGTGGCAATAGAGGAAGGAAAATAGTCTCTTGCATCCAGGTGACTTGCTGTCTGTCCTTGTCCCTGATATAAACTTTGCCTGCTTCCTTTTCCTCAACAACTGCTGGCTCATCATCCTTTATCTGTTCAATCACTGGCGGAAGTGGAATAAGAATCTCTTCACACCAAGGCGCTTCCTGAAGGAATGACTGTGAGCCGAGGAGGTCGGAAAGTAAGGTTGAGACTCAAAGAAAGTGACATCTATGGAGACAAACTATTTGCGAGTGGGAGGATGATATCACTTATAACCCTTTTTGGTGGCAGAATAACTCAGAAAAACACACTTAAGAGACCTATGATCTAATTTATCACGAGTGGGTGAATGATTATGGACAAAGCAAACGTAGCCAAAAGTCTTAGGAGGAATGGAGCACTCGAAAGGGGTAGACCCGAACAAAACTTGAAGATGTGTTTGTTTTTGAAGTACTTGGGTAGAAAGACGATTAATCAAATAAGCAGCAGTGAGAATTGCTTCCCCCCAATAGGATCAAGGAACCCGTATCTCAAAGGATAGACAACGGGCGATATCAAGAAGATGGTGATTTTTGCGTTCTGCAATACCATTTTGTTGAGGGGTATTAGTGCATGAAATCTGGTGAATAATGCCATGAGTGGCGAAGTAAGTGGTAAGACCAGAGTCAATATATTCCTTCCCATTATCAGAACGTAGAATTTTGACAATCTCCCCAAATTGAGTACAAACTATTTTATGGTAGTTTTGAAACACAAAAAATACCTTATTTTTATCTTTCATCAAATAGACTCAAGTGGCCCTGGAACAATCATCTATGAAGGTAATAAACCATTTTTGACCGGTTAAAGACACAAAACGGGATGGATCTCATACATCAGAATGAATTAAAGAAAATACAACTAAACTTTTATTAATAGAAGGAGCAAAAGAGGCTCTCTGTTGTTTTCCAAGTTGACAAGACTCACATTGAAAATCGACACATTATTTTTCTCAAAAACAGAAGGAAATAAATGCTTAAGTTATAAAAAAGAGGGATGTCCTAAGCGACGGTGCCACAACCAAATGTCTTCCTTGGTAGATGATAACTGAATAGATGAATGAGCCAGCTTGTCTGTTTGATCCATAATGTAGAGCCCATTTTCCTCTCTACCACTGCCAATCCTCTTCCTCGTGATAAGGTCCTGAAAAAGACAATGATCAGGAAAAAACGTCATGCTATAATTTAAGTCACGAGTAATACGATTCAAAGATAAAAGATTAACGCTGAAATTAGGAACATGAAGGACAAAAGACAAAGGAAGGGAAGAGGTGGCATGAATTAAACCTTTCCCTGACACAGACGAAATGGTACCCTCAATAATACGTACTTTTTCCTGACTTGAGGAGGGGTTATACTCGGAAAATAAATTAGAGGAGCCAGACATATGGTCGGAAGCACCAGAATCAATAATCCATGTTATAGTCGTATGAGATAGCAATGCACATGGGGAGGAAGCCAAGTTACCTTAATTAGCAAAGGAAAAGAAGGTGCACCTGTAGTAGAAGTGGAGGCTCGATGGTCTAGCAAGTGGCGAAGAACAATCTCAAAATCTGAGGCAGATAATCCCGAGACATCAGTAGCGGAGGAGACAACTGGAGATGAAGATGGTGGCTTAACAGTGTCTGAAAGATGGGCTTGTGCATTGGCCTCGTGGCCTCTAGTACCAGACCAACCCCTCGAGTACCAAGACGGTCGCCTCGGCCACCAGAGGGAGTTCCATACAGCTTCTAACAAGTCTTACGTGTGTGGCGAGGTCGACGACAATAGTCACAGTAAAGATGATCCTTCTCAAAGGAAGGACGAGAACCACGAGTCACACGATCGCCATCGCGAGAGGGTGCAGAAACCAAGGCCGAGCTATCAGTAGTAGCAAAAGGAAGTATCGCAGAACGGCGACTCTTCTCATTCTGTACAAAAGCAAAGGTTTCTTGGAGAGAAGGAAGCACATCCATGCCAAGTACTTTGCTCCGAACCGGATCATACTCCACATTTAGGCCTTCCAAGAACTTGAAGACCCGCTCTTGCGCCACAAACTTCCGGTCAGTGTTTTTAAAGGCTCAAGGCGCACTAAGGCGCTGAAGGTCTCTCGGGGCCAAGGCGCAAGGCGAGGCGCGGACTTTATTGAAGTGAGGCGCACAGTTTTAGTAAAAAATAGAAAAATTAATATAGACTAATCGTTCATAGTACTAAGACAATTTTTTTAAAAATAAAAAATAATCAAGATTCAAGGCAAAATATAGAATAATTTTCAAAGCCATGAAAGTGCATATTACATAACATTTCAATTTTCAAATATAAAATAATCCACATTCAATAAAATAAAAATAAAAATAAAAACATAAACACCAAATATCCAAAACATAAATATCCAACAAATACTAATATATGTCTTAACACTTAAAAACATCAATATCAAAGGAAAGGGTAGGTTAGGTCGGTCAGTCAATCATCATCCTCAACATCAATGGCAAGCAAACTATCATCTTCTTCTCCATCAGTTGATTTGTGTCCCTCAACATCTTCCTCCTTTGTGTCATCTGAGCCCGCTTCCTCTTCATCTATTAATTGAAGTCGTGCTAATATTGATGATTTAGATATCCTCAGTTGTGCCTTTGAGCGTGAACTTGTTGCTCTACTTGCATGGCTACTTTCTTCTACTCCAGAAGCTCTAGCAACAGTGGCTCACGTCAAGCCATCATCATCATCAAACACAGGCTCATTATCTTCATCTGATTCTCCATCCATCCTCCCAAGCAACCACTCATTGCTTTCATCAATATTTTGCAAAGATATGGGATCAAGAGTGTTGCGCATGTCATACCTAAATCTCAATGTTCTATTGTATTTGACATACACTAAATCATTGAGACGTTGTTGTTCCAATCTATTTCTTTTCTTGCTATGAAGCTGCAATTATTAAAAAGATATTAAATTCTATATAATGAGAATAAAAAAATTTGAATTCAACAAAAAATTAGTTAGAATGTTAAATACTCACATGTTCGAATACACTCCAATTTCGTTCACAACCCGATGAACTACATGTTAGGCTAAGGACTTTTATAGCAAAAGTTTGCAAGTTTGGAGTATAAGAACCATATGATGCCCACCAATCAGCTGCGATAATCCACTAGTTAGAAATAATTGTTACCAAGTATTAAGTTTTACTAAAAGTATATATAGGACAGAAGACAAAGGAAGAGAAGCAGTGGCATGAATTAAACCTGAAGATAGAAGTGGAGAATCCGAATTGGTCTCTTGTACCCAAGTAACTTTCTGTCTATCATTGTCCCTAACATACACTTTGTTGTCTTTCACTGCGGATTGAGAGGCAACATTCTCAAGTTGGGTCACCAATAATAATAGTCTCAACATTCTCAATGGCTGATGGTACTAATACAGAAGTCTCAATAGCTGGTAGTGATACAGGAGTCGCTTAAGGCTCTCCTTGAGAGATGACTGGGACACCGGAGCGACAAGAAGTAGGACTGAGATTCAAAGAAAGACACATCCATAGAGACGAACCATTTCCGAGAGGGAGGATGATAACACTTGTAACCCTTTTAGGTGGCGGAGTAACCTAAGAAAACACACCAAAGAGACCGAGGATCCAACTTACCACAGGTAGGAGAATGGTTATGAACAAAGCACACACACCCAAAGGTTTTGGGAGGAATGGAGAACACAGAAGATTGGAACCCGAACAAAACCTGAAGAGGAGTTTGTTTGCAAAGAACCTGGGTAAGAAGACAAAGATTTCATTATACTTCTCTTCTTTATGATCAAATGAACTTGCAATGCATTCTTTTGCCCTATCCATTGCCTCATAAATGTATCCCATGGGAGGTTTCTTCTCGGTATCAACCAATCGAAGCACTTTGATGAGAGGACCGAGACCTTAAGGGCAAGTACAACAGTATTCCAAAATGAAGGCATCAACAAAGTTTGTGCCATTCTTTTACCGTGTGGCTCTTTTGCCCATTTGCTTGAGGTCCAGTCTTCAGAGGTGACCATCTTTCTCAAATTGTTTTTTTGTTGATGCATCCTAGACAAAGTCAGAAAGGCGGTTGCAAATCTAGTTTTTGCAGGCTTGATCAAATTCTTCAAATTTGTATAGCGCCTCATCATGTTTAGCAACGTAGGTCGGTTGTAAATGTAGTCATGTACTGCAATACCCCTTTCAAATGTCTTTTTCAGTCTAGGTATCTTGAAAATGTCTTCTAACATCAAGTCCAAGCAATGAGCAGCACATGGTGTCCAATGCAAGTGTTCATACTTGGTTTCTAAAAACCTCCCTATAATGTAACAATAACGAAGAATTATTTTTTTCAAGTTTTTAAATTTCAAATACAAAACAAATTATGTGTAAACAATTTTGATGTAAGCAAATATTCTTACTCGCCAACACATTAGCTGCAGCACTATCAGTGATAACTTGCACTACATCCTCTTTTCCAACTTTCTCCACAAACTTGTCTAGTAATTCAAATAGCTTTTGCCCATCCTTTGAATAGCTAGAAGTATCAACCGACTCAACAAACATGGTTCCTCTTGGACAATAAACTAAAAAGCTAATCAATGTCCTTCCTCTCCTATCAGTCCAGCCATCAGCTATTATGGAACACCCGTATTTTGCACAATCCTCTTTATGATTCTTCATCAAATCTTCAGTATGTTTCACTTCTTTTTTGAGTTGGGTAACCCGCACTTCATGGTAAGTTGGTGGCTTCATACCAGGACCATATTGCGCAATGGCTTCAATCATTGGTCCAAAACTCTCATAATTTACTGCATTAAAAGGGATACCAGCATCATACATCCACCTTGCAAATCTTTGCACTGCCCGAGCTCTCATTTCTTTTTGTAAGGGTCATTTGCATCAATTTTGGTTTGCTTCCCTTTTGTTTGGTCTCTTCGATTTTTCACTACTGATTCAGGATTGGGTGTGAAGTAAACATCCATAGGCCCTTTTCTCTTTGGCATTTTTGATTTTGATTTGGATGAACTTTAGCTGCTACTTGTCAACTTACGGCTTTGATTGACATTGATCTCAACAACATCATCATCTTCATCTTTATCTTCCATGTCCATGTCATCGAAATCAGGCAATATGTTCATTTCTTCTTTTTGTGTCTTCTTTTTTGACATGAACTCTCTAATCTCTTCTCTTACATGAGCTAGGCACTTCGGGCAAGCAGTGACATTCCTATAACCTCCCGTGAGGTGTTATTTCACCCGATAAACACCTCCATTTGATACTTTACCACAAAAATTACACTCAAACTTGTTTAAATTATTCTCCTCTACCAAATGGTTATGCCGGATCTTTTCTATTACTTTCAGATGTTATTTTCTACAGTCTACACAACAAATTTAATAAATAAATATAGAATCAGAGACTCAAACCAGTAGCACCTAACATAATTTATTTTTCTCCCCCAACAGATAAATACAGAATTTATTAAATACAGATAAATACAAAATTTAATAAATACAGAATTTATTTTTTTCCCCTAACAGATAAATACAGAATTTATTAAAAACAGATAACTATAGAATTTAATAAATACATAATTTATTTTTTTCCCCTAACAGATAAATACAGAATTTATTAAATACATAATTTAATAAATACAGATAAATACAGAATTTATTAAATACAGATAAATATAGAATTTAATAAATACAGAATTTATTTTTTTCCCCTAACGGATAAAGGGGAAAAAATGACCAGTAGCATTGTATTTATTTATTTATTATTTTGTATTTTGTATTTATATTTATTTATTTTGTATTTGTATTTATTTATTTATTTTCCTAACATAATTGAAAAAAAATAATAAAAAAAATAAAAAATAAAAATAAAACAAAGGCGAATGGAAGCCATAAGAAGAAGAAGAAGAAGGGGAGAGAGAGAGAGAGAGTGAGATCAGAAGAAGACCAAAAGAGGTCGAAAAAAAAAAAAAAAAAAAAAAAACGAAGTCGAATCGAGGAGACCAGAAGAGGAGGAGAAGAAGAAGATGGCAAGGCGAAGCATACCTGTGCGAAGTCGAATCGAGGTCCACAGGCGAAGTCGTTGTGAAGTCGAAGTCGAATCGAGGTCCACAGTCGAAGTCGAAGTCCAAGGCGAGGCAGAGAGGAAAAACGACATAGATTAGGATTCATTTTAGTCGTATTTGGTGATATTCTGCATGAGTTGTTATCCTCTGTGGTTAAGAGCCATTCGAACACACCTTCCGTAGCCGTTAGATCAGATCAAGCTGCTAATACATCAAGCGCGCCTAGTCGTGCGCCTCGCTCGCCTGGCTCAAGTCGCGGCTAAGGCGCTCGCCTAGCTCAAGTCGCCTTGCGTGGGACCTGTACAGGCGCAAAGGGTGTGCCTCGCCTCGCCTGGCGCCTAGGCGCGCTTTTCACAACACTGCTTCCGGTAACCAGCAGAATTAGTGGGACAGACATGCTTGTAATCTTGAAGGTGATCAAGCCGCTTCTACCCATTGCTAAGGAAGGTAAAATACTGAAGGATAGTTTGCTCACCTTGTACTGACCGTTCAATGGAGCGACGTAACTTGAAAGCCTGTGAGAAGTTTCCCTTCCTAGAGTAAGTAGTTGCTACGGCCTCCCAAATATTCTGAGCAGTGTCTATAGACAAGTAGCCCTCTCCAATCTCCAAAACCATAGAATGGATCAACCAGCCCATAATCAGAGAATTAGTAATCTCCCACTAGTCATAACGAGGGTCGGTGATATTGGGTGCCTGAACTCTCCCATCAACATATTCCATCCTCCCTTTGCTTTTCAAGAAAATTGTCTGACTCTGCGACCAAGCTAGGTAATTCTGACTATTGAATAGAGAGGTGGTGATTCTAAGGCCAATGTGGAGGTTATCAGTCATAGTGGAAGGGATAACAGAACTCTCGCCCTGAGATGGCTGAGAGGTAGTAGATTCATCGGTCAAATCCGACATGGAGACTCTACTAATTATTCCTCAAACACGAGGCAAATCACAAACCCGGAAGATGAGAGTGGAGTTACAAGCACAACAGTAACTATAAAAGCATAAAGGAGGGAGAATCCAGTGGGGCTTTGTGTCTGGACTATTTTTACATCAGCAGAGTTTTTTTTTTGGACTGCTTCCATACTGTTTTACCTTACCAGAAGACTGTATATAATCTTCACCAGTCCACTATATAAGAGACAACTTCGTATTACATCACCAGAGGACTTTGAAGAGCACCAGAGGACTTTGAAGAGCAGCAGAGGAGCAGCAGAGGAGCAGCGACCACCCTAGGACTTATGTGAAATTTTTAGTAATCCCATGTGAGTTGTATATGGTATTTTTAACAATTTCCACACAAGAATTTATTTATTTATTTATTTTTTTTCTGGTGGTTCCTATAGTTTTTTTTTTTTAATTTTTTTTTTTTTAAAATTTTGCTTACTCTAGCTTTGCATGTGTTGTTTTTCTATCCAAAATGTTAAGCAAAGTATCACATTAGTCATTGTATTATCAATTTGAATATCATATTTTTAGTTTTGTTATAATATTATTCCTCTGTCATGACTGGAGTGACTACATAAAATTCAAAATAAACTATAGAGACCACTAATATAATTTATTAATTTGTTTTTCTTGTTTGAAAATTACTAAAAATCCCATGTAAGTTGCATGTGATCTGTTTAAGTTCAAAATTATAATAGTTAATGACGAATGGACTACATTGCTACAAAACGGAAAGTATAGGATTTAAATTTAATACACAGAGTGACACTTTGTTTAAACTATAGAGAATAATAGTGTAATTTACTCAAATTATAAAATTTTATATAGAATGATGTGATTGATTTGGTTTAAATAATTCAAAAAAAATATCATGCAAATTAATAAATCTCAGTAGCTTTTAACAAACTCCAATGAATAAAAAAAGTTAATAAATTTATTAATTTATATAATATTCCTCTTTATGAAATTTATGGGATTGGGGTCACTGCTGTGCCTTTGGCACATCAGTGACTGTTGTGCCTCATTTTGAGGTGCATTATGGATTTATTTTTATAATCTGAACCGTTCATTTGTAGGGTTTGTTGTGTTAGAATTTCCCATCTTTACCTTCACCTACTCCACTACACACTCCACTTCACCTACCTCCACTTCACCACACACTCCACTTCACCTAACCCACTATCACCTCCACTACACCTACTACCACATTTTCTTCTATATATAGATTGTATAGGAATTGTAATTAATCAATCTTGTAATACATCAATCAATAATATACTTCAATACTTTTACAGTTGAGTATTTCATGCCTACCAAAAATCATATTAATCGGATATCAATAACTATATGATCGAATTGCATATTTTTATACTATTTTTCAAAAGAAAAACTTCTTGTTTATTTTTTTGGTTATCAATCATATAGTTATTGATATCCGATTAATATGATTTTTAGTAGGCATGAAGTACTCAACAAATCTTACAAAATGAATGGTTAAAATCATAAAAATAAGCCCATAATGTACCTCAAAATAAGGCACAACAGTCACTGCTGTGCCAAAGGCACAGCAGTGACCCTAATTCCCATTTTTATTGGTTTAGACTCAGCAGTGACCCTAATTCCCATTTTTATTGGTTTAGACTCATTATCAACTTTTTAGACAGAAGAAAAATGTTTACACAAATTTTCATCTTCTCTTCAAAGGATAATAATGGTCAATAGGACTTTAATTACTACAACTAAGCAAATTACATATATTGATGAGTTTTCTAGATTTTGCATTATTGTCAAGCTTTTATTTTACATATTGTTTTTAATTTGTATTTGTTGTCTAGATTAATGGCATCCAAGTATTTTAAATAAAAAATCTAGACATACATTTCATTGGATAGCAAAATAATAAATAAACAAATAAATGCAGATTTTTTTTTATTGAATGCATTATCTTCCTATCTGTCATTCAGTCCTCTACTATAAATATTATGTGGAGTTTGGATAGTATCAGTATTCACAAATGAGTGCACAGTTGTCAGAATCCACAAATCCATCAACATTGCTTCTCTCTCTCTCTACTTTCCTCCTCCACTGATTTGAGATCTGAGTCAAATTCTAGAGATCCATCGCCGGTGACGAATGCAGAGAGACCATTTGTAGCCGTCGCCATTGCCATCGCTGAAGGCAGAGAGACCAGATCTGCTCAATGGTAGATTCGCCGCCACCTGACATCACTCGTTTTTCTCTCTCAATCCTTGCTCGAACCCCGACTCTTCCTCTCTCCTCTCACCCTCTCTTTACGTCGTTAGTCTAGGTGCTAGAATATCATGTCCATAGGGACAAGTTCTCGCAAATTGACCAAACTACCCTTAGATATATCTGACTCAAGTGTTTCCTTATATGTCATCATTTCAAATTGAAGAACCATTAATCTTAACAATAATTAGAGAAATTTCACTGTTGCTTTACTGTGGATGGGTTCTTGATGAAATCCATTTTGTTTCTTTCATCTCTTTGTTCTGACCCAAACATTGGGATATAAAAATAAGAACTCAGCCCTGGATGAAATCCAGCACCACCACCAAAAGAAGTCTGGCCCACCCCATATCCAAAGGGATTGGCAGGCTGTTCATGCACAATCCTATCAGTGCGGATTCCAATCTTAGTCCTAAGTTCCATCATAGCAGCCCAATCCCTTTGGATATGGGGTGGGCCAGACTTCTTTTGGTGGTGGTTGTAAGAATTTATGTATTATTGATTGATATTGTTGTTGTTATAATATTGATATTACAAGGATTCCTATTATATAGGAGAGGATTTGGGTAGTAGGTGAGGAGTAGGTGAGGGTACATTGGTGGTAGGTGTAGTAGGTGTGGTAGTAGGTGGTGGTAGGTGTAGGTACATTTTAACAGTGGTGTTGGAGGTGCTGAATTTCATCCAGGGCCGAGTTCTTTTGGAGGTGCTGGATTTCTTGCTGGGCTGAGTTCTTTTGGTAGTGGTGGTGGTAACACTGCTGCTGGTGGTGGTGGATTTTTTGCTGGGCTTGGTGGTGGTGGATTTTTTGATGGGTAGAGTTCTTTTGGTGGTGGTGCTGGTGGCTCGTCATTTCAAGCGGGCCCCAGTTTTGCTGGAGGTGGTATTGGCTTGCCATTTCAGGCGGGCCCGAGTTTTGCTAGAGGTGGTGGTATTGGTGCTTTACTATTTGGTGCAGGGCCGGGTTCTTTTGGAGCAGATGGTGGTGGCAGCGACAACAATGGCATTGTTCCATTTGATGGTAGGGTTCCAAACGCCGGGTGGTTCGAAGGCTCCTTATAGATTTAACCATGGCTATGGTCGTGGTTTTTACTAGAAGCTTATATGGCTGATTAATATTAATGTTTTTTACATTGTGCACAGTTTTTCTTTTTCCTTTTTTTGTCGTTGGTGATGTTGAACCCTATATTGGAATAAATTGGTACTTTTATGTGTGTGATTCATATGGTCGTTGTGAGTTTACTTTCAATTTCTTGGAAAATATTATATGATTTTTGCCTCCTGAAAGTAATTAATTGTTATCTTATTTATCAATTTTCTTATTACTTTCTCAGACAAAATCTATCTTAACCAAATAAGTACAAGAAAATAAATTTTCTTTTCTCTTCACTTTCTATAATTTTCATTCTAATGAAACACACCTTTAATTTGAGAAGGAAAAATTATCTTAGCCATCTAGCATTGCTTTCAAATTATCTCTCTTGTTTTTTTTTTTTTTGTCTTTTAATCTTGTTTTTATATCCCAATGTTTGGGTCAGAACAAAGAGATGAAAGAAACAAAATGGATTTCATCAAGAACCCATCCACAGCAAAGCAACGGGGGGCTGTTAGAATTTACCATCACCTACCACCACTACCACCTCACCTACTCCACTAAACCTAACCCACTACACCACTATCACCATCCACTACACACCATCCACTACACCTACATCTATATAAGGAACCATTTGTAATAGATATAAATGTATCAAAAAATCAATCAATAATACAATTCTCTATTTCTTTTTATACATCAATTTTAACAGACAGATAGGAAGATAACGCATTCAGTAAAAAAAAATCTGCATTTATTTGTTTATTTATTATTTTGCTAGGTGTATTTGACTTTTTTTTTAATGGAGATGAACACTCAATATGCAAGGAACCAATGCCAATGTGTTAAAGACATATATGGATTTGTGATTTGATCAATCCAACATATACAGAGTTGAGTTTTTGTTATGTTTTATTTTCAATGATAAACTTATCGCCGCGTAGGGCTGAAAAAAAGGGGTAATGAATCTCAAATTTCATGAAGTTTTATTTGTAAAGTCATTACGATTTCAAAGCGGGAAATGAACTTGAATGCGTTCCTAATAAAATGAATGGAGAATTTAATGTGAGAGATAGTTTGACATTGAGGTATTTAATTTGTGAGAAACTTTGTGGAAATCAAGTCATTTGATGTATTAAAAAATAATTCATAGAAAATATATACAGTTTCGTTTTTTTTGTCATTTATTTATATATATATTTTTTTATGGATTGTATGAGGAGATTAAAGAAATATGACCTTTCTAAAGTGTCAAATATGAATGTTTTATGAATTTCATATGGGACTAATTACTTACGTAAAGTTTACTTTTTATGTACCAACAAGGTTTATTGAAGGAAAAAATGACGATTTATTGAATACTCTTTTCTCACAATTACCTGTTGCATTCTTTATGCATTCTGAGAAATCATTCTAAAAGTTTCTTTAGAATATCAAAACTCCTTAACCATTTGATTATAGTTTGAAAGGCTAAAAAAAAGTTTTTGAATAATCACGGACTTGTATAAATTTTTCTTATTGATTTCAGAACCTGCAATGCTTTTGAAGAAAAGCATTCAAGTTGACCAAATTGAGTTAATTTTTCATGCAAAATATATTGCACATGAATTGGCAAATCTTTTTTTTTTTTTTTTTCCAATGCTGCGATGGCACAATTCATGAATGCAAAATGACTTGTACAGCTAAGCAACACCTAGGTCAAGCCGAGACATTTATTTATTGATTGACAAAAGTCAGTTGTTAATTATTAGATTAATACTTATAGAAGTTAGACATTTCCACTCTTGCAAAGTACTAAATGCTTGCCTCCTTAATTAAACTTCCCCTTAAGAAGAATTGAACATATAGATGAATGTGATTAAGTATAAAACCATACATTATATAATGCATAATTTTTTTTCAATTCATTTTTTTTGCAATTTTTAATTTTCACACAAAGCAATACCAATCAGATTTTGCTCAGTGTGTTGTGAATTGTAAATTAATTATACAAACTATACAAGTCCAACCTAGAGAGTAACCTATTTAGAAATATTCAGTGCTGATATAATCCAAGAAAAGATTTCTGAAATCTATACAACCTGTAACAATGTCAAAAATTCTAGCAAGACTTGGGTTTATACTTTATATGGTAAAATGAAATCAATGGCACCTATTCAGAAATATTCAGTGCTGATATAATCCAAGAAAAGATTTTTGAAATCTACACAACCTCTAACAATGTCAAAAATTCTAGCAAGACTTGGGTTTATACTTTATATGGTAAAATGAAATCAATGGCATGATTTCTAATTTTTTCATTTAGTTAGTGTTTTTTAAATAATTTTAATTACCTTTCAAAGTGTTTATTTTTGATGAAAACATGTTTATATGGTTAAGTGAACAGCCTGCAAAAAGGACAAAAAGCCAAAATGAGTGTCTTTTATTTTTTATTTTAAATTGTGAAGCATGTTAAAAGAATGTAAGACCAGCAAGAAGGCTGGTCGGCCTCCTGGGAACCCTCGGTAGTGGCTGGAGAGGCCTACCAAGGGAGAGAGAAGCCTAGGTGATGACTGTCAAAGGAAGAGAAGAGACTGGGAGACCTGGGTAGAGTCTGTTGGGGTTAGACGAGGCTGGGTGACTTGTTTGGGGCAATCGTCTGGTCTATAGGAGAGAGGAGATCACCTATAGTGATGGGTAACAGAGAAGGAGAGTTGACTCTGATACCAAGAAGGTTTAGGGAAGAGAAAAAGTTAGAGAGTGAGTTTGACTTCATTCCCTTTTATATTAATAATACTAAGTAATTACTGGAGTGCCATAAGGCATAATACATGGGCCAGCCCATTACCTATGAAGCATAGACATGGCAAAATTAGCGTCGTGGTGGTGTCGAACACGGGGACACGGGGATACGCCGGGGACACGTACGGGACACATCATCTGCCGTGTCCCTTTAATTTAATTGTTTTCTTGTAGGGGACACGCGTGTCCAAATCTGGACACGGCGTGAGACACGACAAGGAGGGAGAGACAAAGGAGAGAGTGTGAAGGAAGAGAGTGAAGAGAGACAAACCTGTCGAAGATCGAAGATCGAAGCTCCATGAATCCAGTCGAAGATCGAAGCTCCAAGCTCCATCAGTCGATCGAACAATCAAACACCCCAGACGATCGCGATCTGTCTCTCTCTTTCGCCTTCACAATCTGTCTCTCTCGATCGCGACCTCGACCTGTCTCCCTCTCTCTCTCTCCTTCTCTCTCTCCCTTGCTTCTGTCGTTTTATCTGAGGGTCTAACTATTATTATTATATATTATATAATAGTTATTATATAGCATATTATTATATATTATATAATAGTTATTATATAACATATAGTATATTTATAAGATAATATATAATACATATTGTAAGATAATATATAAATAAACACATGTATGTAAAATAAAATAAAAAAATTAATTATTTAAAAAATATATATTGTAAGATAATATATACTCATACATATTAATAAAAAAATAAATAAACACATGTATGTAAAATAAAATAAAAAAATTAATTATTTAAAAAATATAATAAATAAATAAAATAATTAATGTATATTAAAATAAAAATATTTATAAAAAAATAAAAAGATTTGCCGTGTTTCCTGCCGTGTTCGTGTCCCTATTTTTTAGAAATTGCTGTGTCCCGTGTCCGTGTCCGTATCCGTATGCGTGTCCGTGTCCGTGCTTCATAGCCCATTACACCAATCAAGGAATAAATAAGAAGAAAATACAATCACATATTTCCTATTCTAACTTGTTGCCTATTCTAACATGATCCTATGTTGAACTTCAAAGGGTAGGCTTTAAGAGTGCAGTCGTATGATTATATATAATTTTCTTGCTCTTATTGCACAGAATGCAGTTGTCCTAAAGAGGGACTCTGGAAGTTTGTGTGATTTAAGTGCTAGGCAGTTGCTCATGTTGTTGGTTGAGAACACCTGTAGTTTTCTCAATAGTTTTTCTGCCATTTATCATGCTGATATGATGTGAAGTTAACTATCTGGAGAGCTTTAGGTCAGTCATACGTGGTTGGTTTGTTATATTTAGAAATTAGAAGTGTTTGTGCTTCTTAGGAGATGACCCAAAGTAACAAACCAACCCTCCAGAGCAGTGTTACCAGAATAATGGTTAATATAATAAAAAGGCTTGGTTTGGTTTGGCTTATATTATCTCCTGTTCATGAGTTTTATCACATTTTGCTTTTGACAATGGCTTACAACAACAGTAACTCATGACACTAATCAAGTGGTAACATACTTTTATCTAGGTTGGTGTTCTTCCTATGGATGAATCAAAAGTTATCGCAAAAGGTCGTCTTGGTCCAGGAATGATGATAACGGTTGATCTACTTAGTGGTCAGGTTTGTACAGTAATTTATTAATGACTTGGTGCATAAATTGCAAGATGGTATTGCCTTTTGATGATTATGTTTGCATCCACACAGTAGAGGTTTTTTGTCGACTTTGCTGTTCAGCTTTCAATATCCACTTTGACTTGTTACTGGTTTTTCATTTAAAAGCTTCTAGACAGATTTCCTTTGCAAAATATCAATTTATTCATTTTATGAAAAATATATGCCACTAATCATAAAAAATATGAAGCATATATGTCATTTATCATAAAAAATTATGAACATGCCCCCTCGGCATGTTCTGTATTACAGTTTTTTCTTTGTTGCTGATAAAGAAAAGGGGATAAGTGATGCACATCTAATACTCTTTTTTTCTTCTTCTTCTTCCTTTTTTTTTTTTTCCTTACTGTTGCTTTTATAATTGTGTGCCATTCTGTTTTATCTATGTTGATCCCATTTATCTTTGCATACATTTTCTGTGCAATAAGAGCGCTTTCAAATCTTTTTGAATCACTATGCTAAAATGTTCAACACTAAGAATTTATAAGAACATTAAAATGCTACTATAACAAAGAAAGTGTACGACTGAAAAAACCAAGAAACTAATAAGTAGAAGTAATATATTTATTATGAGCCACCATGCAGCAATATAGCAATTGCTTTTCCATGTTTGTGCTTGCTGTTAGGTAAATTGTGGTGTGACAGATTCCTTTTATTTATGCAAACTTACAAGTAAACCGACATGTATTTTTTGT